AGATCGTAAAGAGTTGAACACAGATGTGTAGGAAACTTGTAAACTTTACCTTCCGGCTGACCCTGCTCTGCCCGAACCGGATCCTCCGGTGCGGCATCCGCGTCTGCCGGACTTGCTTCCCGCAACATCTGGAACAAAAATTTAGCGTTCTTGGTTGGTAAGCTGCGGTAGAGAAAAAATGGTTGGTCGGGATGAGTGGAGAATATTCGCTACGATTTTTTTTTCTTTATTGACATTGAATATCTAGATAGGAGCTCTTGAAAGAGCTGACGAAAGAAAATGACAATAAGAAGCGGAGACAACAGTTGTGTGCTCTCGAAAATATTCTTTTACGGATGGACATTTAAATTCAGATCCCGTAACAAGAGTAAACAAACTTGAAAGAAGCGCTGACCGAAAACAAAAAAGGTCGCAGTCTAAGAAGTGATATGACGTTGAATATTCTACACAAGACCAATATTCTCACACAGGAATTGGGAATGATTCAGAATGTTTGATTGAGAACATGATGAATTCGAGATCCACGTCCATGGACCGTTATCCGTCTCTGTCTGAATCAATATCTTTTGTATACAACAACGCAATAAATAGATAGACAGACAGAGATTGACGAGAGTAATTGCAAATTCATAAAGTGATGATTACTAGTCGGATGATGACGGATTGTGAATGCCGAGCGCGAAATTCCGACTTCTTATTCCCGGAAAATTCGTCGAACGTACGCTCTCGTTATCGGAGACCTCCCGCGTAATAAATGATTCCACATACCTGGAAACGTGACGTATCGCTGCCGGCGTTCTGCTTCTCGATTGCTGAAGTCCTCCGGATTTCACTCGCTCATGCTTCTAATGCTGATACTCGCGATTCGACCGTGCAGCTAATGAATGAGATGCCGACGTGATGCCGATTGAGTATCTCGAGGACCGACGAGATATATTTCTTTTAATTACACGAGACGGAAGTGACGAGAGCGTCGCGTACGGCTGCTGCTGATGGAATGAGGTCGAATACATGAGGTGCGCGAGTATTATAATACGAAGGGTAAAAAGTGTCGTCGCTCGCGAGCCGATCAACACAATCGGCGCGATGTAAACATTGCGGGCCTCGGCGGCGGTTGAAGCAAGTGTAAGATACAGACGAGGGAGGACAGCACCAGTCTATTCCGGGCGGAGTCACGGGAGAAAGACCGGTCCTGAGAGAGATCAGACTCGACGGATGGAGAAAAGGATAAAAGGAGACGCACGGAAGAAGACGGGGCTTTTTGGCTTTTTACCTGTTTGCCGTTAGCTCTTTAGCCTTTAGCTTTTGCCGATCAATGTCGAGACGAATAATAGAAATTAGAGTCAAGTCGAAGAAAGAGTCGTAGAGCGTTAAGCTTTTGTAAAGAGATATATTTGATATAAGTTGCGGTGTCGGATACTATTGTATTATTGTTTATTTAAAATATACATACTGATATTCTTGTTCATAATAAGAAGAGTACAAATTAAGCGCTCGGAACCTTAACATCCTGAACATCCCTCTCTCACAAAGGAAGAGGATCAAGAAGAAGAGAGACAGAAAGATAATAGAACAGAGAAATAGAGGATCTCTCTTTTTAAATCTTACACAAGAGAGACTTGCCTTTGAGCGTCTCTTGTTTTCTCGAAGGTTTCGGAACGACGAGGGAAATGCGAAGAGGCCTTTCAACTGTACGCGACATTGATGCACTCTATTTATTGATTACTGAAAATAAAGAAAATTACTCTGTCGAAGCATCGGACATTTGTTAGCTTTATGTTAATTAAAGAGGAATGTATACGATTAGAAAATGTGTTAGCAACTAATTGTATAGAGTGTAAGTTGTTGTGACGCCGTTTTCAGAGAATAATTAAAGGTCATGATAGCGTTAAAGAATGGAATTTCATCCTATGCGAATTTAGTCGCGCTCTTATTAAATATTAGTCCTGTATAAAATGTCGTATTTAAAAGTATTGTTTCATATTCATGAGATTTTGTCGTGAATTCTGCTCTCAGATTGGATCGCGGGTGAATACTTTTTAATGCGACGGGGAATAGAACGTGAAAATCTTGTATGCCTCTGAATCCGAAAACGATTAGGAGAAGAAGTGAATATTTTTCAATACGAAAGTTCGCATTTAAAAATTATCGATTGCGATTGAATACAAGGCATATTTGAAACGAATTGAATCCTTGTTAATGCGAAGCATTCACTACTGCCATTTCGCATTTAGCGCGGTGAAATTTAATGGGAACTAATACTTTTTATTTTCCCTTTCTTCGGATCAGGAAGCAAAATTCAGACGTATTCAAAATGTCAATACTTTTTAATATGTTTCAGTTCGACATTTTATACAGGGAGATTATCCGCTGCGGACAATAACTCTTCTACTTTTCATTTAATATTCAATGATGATAAATAACATTTAATTGCATTCGTTTGGCTTTTTTTATTTCGAAAATAAGAAAATATATACCGGGGTGAGATTTTACCCATGACAACATTAACGTGATTTTCTTTGATGCTTTTTTTAAAAGTTCAAATATTTCGTCGATTCGCGGGATATTTATAATCGGAGTCTCGTCACGTTAATTACGTGAATAACACGTGCTCCTCCGAGCGGATCGAATGCTCACCGACGGCCACTGTCAGTGCCACGAGCGAATGTCCGGAGCGGACGGGATGCTGAATTAAAAAACAAGACGAAGTGAACGGGACGCGGACAACGATACATCATGCGTCTCCATACATGTCAAATTGTTTATTATAGAAGAGACTTTGATATGGCAATATATATTCGAAGATTTAACATTTAATACGTACTTTTATTTTTTCTGCTCCTCCCCCCCTCTCCCCCGCTCTTTTTAGACCACCGGGCATAGTCTGGCATAGAGATGGCAACTGTCATTGCAGCACGGATATAAACCGCCTGAAAGTGGATGTAGCATGGACTTCCACCATATGCAGATTTTACCACCGAGACCTGAAAGTAGATGTACTATCGTAGTTCCCCTCTCAAAATGGATACAGATGGCGTCCTTTCCCAGTACGGAAAGTCGGTGTCGCAGAAAATGTCGTATTGGCCGCTCTCAGGTTACTCTATGCACGGACATAAACCGCCTGAAAATGGATGTAGCCCGGACTTCCACCACATGCAGATTTTACCACCGAGACCTGAAAGTGGATGTAGCATCGTAGTTCCCTTCTCAAAATGGATGCAGATGGCGTCCTTTCCCAGTGCGGATAGTTGGTGTCGCAGAAAATGTCGTGTTGGCCGCTTTCAGGTTTCTCTCTGGTTACGTATATATGTGTGAATCCATTGGGATTGGATTATTTTATACGATTATCTATTCCGCAAATTGATGTAGAATTCGGCAAGGTTTTTAAACAATTATATATTCAGTCAGTTGAATCGAGTAGTTTATCAGCAGATTTGGCTTCTAATGTTCAGTCTAAAATGGGGATTCCTGATGTGAGTGGCCATCTCTTTCGGCGGCTTCTCGATTCGAGAGGTTTCCAGGGTTTTCGAACGGTTTTCATTGATTGATCACGTACCTCGGATGGTTAAGTTGGTTGTGCAGTCTATTCGTCAGAATTAAATATTTTTCTAAAATACCATCTCTCGGATTTTAATAGCGTTTTTGAGGCTGAATCATTTGCAATTTTACATACCTTGGTGGCTATCTCTGACTCTAACTGTAAGAAGGCTGTAATCGCGTCCGATTCGCTTAGTGTGCTCACATTTTTTAACTCGCCGGATATTAAAGGAAAATATCATCCTCTGGTATACATGATGAGAGATATTATTCATAATTTATACCTGCAAAATATCACGATTGCGTTCATCTGGATTCCGGAACATCATAACATTCCTGGAAATGAGGCAGTGGATTTACTTGCCAAGGAGGGAGTAGTTGGAGATAATTTATCTGTATCACATAAAGAGATTACCTTCGTTTCCAATTATACACGAGTATTTAGGAGTGAAGCATTGAAGAATGCAACTGTTCACTTGAGAAAGTCTGCCAAATTTAAAGGATACAGATATTTCAACCGTACCCGGATTAAACTTACTGAGCCATGGTTTAATAATTTCCTGGAAATGCCAAGAAGCACCTTATCTCTTATTGCAAGAATACGTTCGTATCACTTGGGTGTGGCCCAACATTTGGCGGAAAAAAATCTAGTGGATGCAGCCTTATGCAGTTGCGGTTTGCTTGAGTCCGTTGAACATTTATTTTTTGAATGTCCGAACCATTCGGATCACTCGGATTGGTTGCGACTGAACCTTAAGCCAGCGGCACACGATGCTTGTTTTCGTGCTAGATTGCTTGCTGGATGAAAATACTGCGTTCTGATTGGTGCATTTCCATCCATCTTCGAAAATATATCAATCACAACGCAGTATTTTCATTCAGCAAGCAATCCAGCACGAAGACAAGCATCGTGTGCCGCTGGCTTTACACGAGTTGGCGCTGATGTGCCGCTGAATGTCACCGATATTGCATTTAGTAATAATAAGAATGCCTTCGAGGTTTTGATTGGTTTTCTGAAGCGTATTGAAAGAAGACTCTAATACCCGTATTCATAGTCAGGCCTTATATTTAAGATTTCCTTAAGTTTATCTTCAGATGGTTTGTAGCCAATAAAATAATCCGCACAGCATCTAAAGATGGATATAAGGTCTCAAATATAAGGCCTGACTATGAATAAGAGTATACTATACGAGTATACTATATAATACCCGTATTCATAGTCAGGCCTTATATTTGAGGCTTCCTTATATCCATCTTTAGATGCTGCACGGATTATTTTATTGGCTACAGACCATCTGAAGATAAACTTAAGGAAGTCTTAAATATAAGGCCTGATTACGAATATGGGTATAAATCATGACTACCAATCCTGTGGACTAGTTGCTTCAAAGGATCAAGTGGACTAGACTTTGGGTTAGCATCGAACAGCTGATATGTGCTGATATCAGTCACTATCAGCTAATACTTCTTTCCGGACGTTGGTCATTATTAAAGGATTGCTCTTTCAATCATGTCAACGTTGAAATCTTCCGTGTTACATTCCCAGAAATATTCAACGGAGAGAACGTTATCGCGGATAACATGACAAAGGAACGGCATCATTCGCGCTGCTGAATAAGGATTTACAAGAGATCTCGTAGGTTATGCGAAGGTCTTTAACTGTCAAAGTTCATACGGCAAAATGGAGAAACACATGCATTTATGGAGAGACGCTGACAAATTGTCTTTCACATTCGGTGACAAGCCGAACGGCATTATCTGCAAACTCGTTACCATTAAGGATCACATTTTTGTAGCTACTACAACCAATAATCTATACCATGGGGAAGTATCATTCCAGAAAGATACTTACCCCATGATTACTTTTAGAAGAGCTCAATTCGATGTCATTGACGTAGCATCCAATTCTGAGCACTTGTTCATTGTAAATACTATTGGACATGTTTTGAAAGTAAATCCTCAGGACATGAGTGTTGTAGATACAATAATTCTTAAGGAAGAGGTCAAATATTGTAGCCATGGGTACGTACATCAAAATATATGGTATAATTAAAATTTAAATAAATTTTGCGGTTGTTGCTCTGTTATTCTCCCGTTCTTTTCTTTTGTTGTACAATTTATTATCAATAGATGAATAGGCATTTAGAATTTAGCATGTTTTATTTCATATTTGTAACCATTTATAGCTATTTTATTATTATATACAGCAATATTTTATTATAGGTGAAATATTTTATTTTTACAGGTTTAAAGAAGAAAATGAGGTAGTAAAAGTAAAGTCTATAGCGATAAGTGATCATGCAGCATTATTTGTTACGGAAAATGGGCAGCTCTGGGCAAGTGGTAGTCAACCACAAATAGATATAAATAGTATAGAACCAAAGAAAGTTAGATTTTTTGAAGGAAGGACAGTATCCGAAGTGGCTTGTGGCTCAAATTTTAATGTAGTTACTGTTAGAAAGACTACTAAACTTATAAAAGATGATACAGACAGCGAAAATGACCTAGAGGAAGAAGTCTTTATTCATTCTTGTCCACAATGTGTTAATAATGTTATGTTGAGTCCTGGCAGTGTAACATCATCGGATACGTGTCCCACGGGTCTCCATGCACAGCAATTTAGCGAAGATCGTTCTACCAATTCCATCAGTGCTCTGTCCACTGCCAGTAAAGAACACATTCCTCTCCCAGAAATAGACAAGAAAGAACAACCCTCTGATATCATCGAAAATGGCGAGGATTGCCTGAATGATGTGACAGATCCTGAAAAAGATGAGAAGAAAAATGTGATATTTATAAACACAGAGACTGCCCGGCAATTCTTAACTAGACAATTGTCATGGGTTTCGTCTTACGGAAGTGCCAAGGAGGATATACCGATGGAAGGTGTTGATCGGCCAACAAGATTAATCAAGCAAAATGTATCGAATATGGCGAACTTAGTGTATGAAGGAGTTAAAAACGTAGGTGGTAAAGTTGTAACTTTGTCTAGACATATGAGCGGAAGTTCCGATATTAATGAATCTAAAGCCGATAGCAACGAGAACTTAGAAGAGCCGGGTAATAATTATACAAAGCCTACCGCGACTAGTTTAGCACTTAGCTTGCGCTGCGAAGAATTCCCTTGGTCGTCGAGTACGGGCTCCTCCGAGCACGAGTTATCCCAGCAAGGCTTGAATGAGAGGATCAACGCGTTATCCCGCACTGGTAGCAATATATTGGCGACAGAACTCTGGACTTGGGGTGATGTGCAGTATGGGCAATTAGGAACGGGGGATATCATTAAACGACCGAGGCCAGTGCTGGTAGCGAAGCTTAGCCACACCGGAATCAGAAAGATATCATGTGGTGCTTTCCATATACTTGCTTTAACATTAGATGGCAGAGTATTCGCATGGGGCCGTAATAATTATAAACAGGTGACTTTGTACACCACAATCGATCAGAGTGCTCCTCAACTATTCACCACCAAATTAGCGTCAAATGAAAGAGCTATCAACATGGCAGCTGGTAATTTCCATACTCTAGTAATGATGCATCATGGTTTATACTTTATGGGGCAGTCAAGGTAAGTTGACTAAATAGAAGTCTTCCTGACTAGTAAATGTATCTGATAATAAACACACGCATTGTATTTGTTTCTTCAGCAAAGCTGGAGATATGTTTCAGCTCGACATACAAACCAAGGATGAATCAAACAGTCCGAGAGAGATTTTCAGTTCTGGGCAATATAGCTGTTGTTCTGTGATAAACGAGCCAGCAATAAGTGTGTCGGAAGATTTAATAAATGATCAGATCTTTCTGGAGGAGATGTTGACCGTTTATCAGAATCTAATCAGACCGTTCCAAAAGAAGAGTGGTGCTACCCAGGAAGCTAATGTATATGAAACACTGTGCCGCTGTTACGCAGAACTAATGCACTTTAGTGTCTTAAATATTATAAGCTTATGGGATTACTTCAACCATGTTGGGGAAGCATACGAGGTCGCGATTGTTGCCAATATAGAAGAATTTATCGCAGTGTATAAATATTATTTAAATGCTATCTGCGATGTTATATCTCTCGGTGGTTTTACGCATATTGCAAAACTCATCGAAGTGCCACAAGTAGTATCAAATTTATTTATAGACAATCTAAAAAATAGCGATATAAAGAAGAATAATGAGATTGTTATAACAATGGCATTGCAACATCCTCTGTGTAAACTAAACAGGTGAATTGATTATGTCAGGATGATGTTAACTTTTTTTAGAAAGCATGAAACTTAATTTCTTCGCAATTAACCAATGTATAATGTTTGATTGCAGGTACAAAAATATGATACATAGTTTAATAAAAAGCAATGGCGTAAGGATGGGTGTTGAACGATTACAAGAGGCTCTCGTAAAATGGGAACAGGTGCACGACGAGCAGGAGAAACGTCAAAAGGAGGCGGAAGCTACAAAGTTGTTCTGGGAGAGTTCTGGCAAGTTGGGAGAATTGTTGAGATCTCCTGATAGGAGACTGATTAGGGAATCGAGAACCCACCCACTGTCAATACTCAACTCTGGTAGATTTTCATCTCATTGGTTTGTGTTATTGACGGATATTTTCATACATGTTACTGGCACTACGCATACAGTACATCCACTTCGAACATTATGGGTAGAACCCTTACCAGACTCCGAAAACGTACAGGTACGGGCTTCTATTTGTTCTACTTGATTCATTAAATGCCTGACTCGTTTTACAAGAGAAACCGGCATAATAGATACAATTAAGAATAGATTTGTTTCTCTCTCTTAGAATGCTATATCGATCGTCACGCCAGAGGACAGTTTCGTATTGTACACTCCTACTCCTTCGGAACGTAATGAATGGTTGCATGCTTTGCAAAATACCATAAAGTGCAGTTTGCAAAGAGTGATTGGAAATGTGCCTCCATTAGCGCGATCAAGTTCGTTCTTTTTCACAAAGCATAATATTTTTAAGGATGCAACATATACTGGTTTGTAAAATGATATTGAATAGTATATTTCACTTTTATTATATTTTGTACATTATATAATGTGTCGTGTGTATATTTTGTGTACACGGTAAACGGCTAAACAAAATTTAATTTAACGATGTATAATATTTATGAATTATATAACAAATTCATAGGACGATGGCTAAATGGCAAACCGCATGGCTCTGGAAAATTGGAATGGTCTGATGGTCGCATATACGTGGGACAATTTCATAAAGGTGTTATTCATGGTACTGGCAAAATGGAAATTCCGACGCAGGGCGTGTATGAAGGCCAGTGGAAGGATGGCCAGCAAAATGGATATGGAACTATGAAGTAAGATTATAATTTATTTGAAAAAGCATATTTATATAATTAACTAATTTATAAAGTAGAAGGTGTACACATTTTCGTGCGTTTATTTTATAAATTAATCATATAATTGTGGTATGTCATTAATGCTATAAAGTAATTGAGAAAATATTACATAATATGGTATATTTTCAGATATGTCAATGGAGATTTTTACGAAGGATACTTTAAAGATGGATTACCTCACGGCCACGGTGTCAAGAAGGAAGGTCATTTTATGGCATCGATTGCATCTGTTTACATTGGAGAATGGGCTGCTGGTGTGAAACAAGGCTATGGAATAATGGACGATATTATGACAGGTAATATACATATATTTGCTTAAATTTATATTACGGATAAAAGTTATAATTAAGATTATTAAGATTATGTATTTATATAACTCAATGATGTTACAGGTGAAAAATATCTTGGATCGTGGAGCAATGGAATGAAACATGGTTGTGGTTTAATTGTGACACTTGATGGAATTTATTATGAAGGTGTTTTTACGCAAGACGTCCTAACGGTATGTCAACGATTATCTATACATCAAACTAATATGTGTAACTTGTACGAATCTAATTAATTTATACAAACGTGAAACTATATAATCTAATTGCAACATTGTTCACTAAAAGGGTTACGGAGTTATGGTATTTGAAGATGGTACACATTACGAAGGTGAATTCAAGTCTGCTGGCATATTTTACGGAAAAGGTACCTTAACGTTTCGAAGTGGCGAAAGGCTAGAAGGTAACATGAACGGTGCTTGGAATGAAGGTGTCAAAGTTATTGCCACGTTACACATGAATAAAAGCGGTGGAACTGTGCAACCTAATACAAAACCGGCGTAAGTTTTCATATGAAATCACTCTACTATCAACAATTTGATCCTTAATAGCCGACTTATTATGATGTATTATACAATATATGTGTATATGTTTATCAGTATCCATTATTTTGTTAGATCTTTTGGCAAATTGTGTGTATCCCCGGATCAAAAGTGGAAGGCAATATTTAAGCAATGCTATCAACAGCTTGGTATATCCGAAGTAGCCAGTAAAACCAGTTCCAGTTACAATGAAAAATCGATAGAGACGCAGAGAGTGTGGCAAAATGTCGCTAGTATAATAACCAAGTCCCATCAAAGGACACTGCAACGGAAGAAACTCTCGGCGAATACGTCAAACACGAAAGAGAGGAGCAGCGAAACAATCGATCAGTTGGACAAGATTCCGTGCTTCGGACGTGACAAACTCACCAGTCAGACTTACAGTGAAGTGCACAAGTATCTAGTGAAAGCTTTCGAGAGCCCGCATCATCCGTTAGGCGCCCTTTTGACCGAAGTAGCTGCGGTATACACAGCTACGTATGGTGGAGTGAGAGTACATCCATTGTTACTTAGCCATGCAGTATCAGAGCTTCATAGTATTACAACAAGGATATACGAGATCGTGCTTCTTTTATTCCCGGCTTTGCCACGTTGTGGTAAAGAATATGTTCTTGAAATCGATGGTAAAGAAGAAGAGTACGTATATTGAAAATTTATATCATGAAATCTGTTTTGTTCTATTTGTATAACTGTCGATGCAGAGAGTTTCAAGCTTTATATTATTCAGAGTAATTATTATTTATTTTTAGACAAGTTATAAGCGCTGCTGCGATATTACACCCGATATTACTGCCACGTGTACACTCAGCACTCTTTGTATTGTATGCCTTACACAATAAAAAAGAAGATGATGCATACTGGGAAAGATTAATGAAGTGGAATAAGCAGCCTGATATAACTCTAATGGCCTTTCTCGAAATTGATCAGTAAGTATCAGCAGTATACTTTTTGCGTGATATTTGTATTTAGAATTAAAAATTATTTACTTTTGCGAAATTGCAGGAAATTCTGGAAAGCAACAAATGTAATGAACATCACAGATAACTCGTTACCGTATCAACATGAACCATACTTCAGTGATGCTATAGAAACTTTACAGCAACTTAAAACCACCTTTTCGCCTTTAGAAAAGTTGTTAGTGGTCAGGAGTACATTTGAACAGATGACACAAGTAAGAATATGCATTACTGTCGATGTTGTGTTCCTAATAGGCATACCCAAAGAAATCACTCATATCTTCCTCATATTTATATCTTTAGGCAGTACAAAAACAATTAGGATCTACGTATCTATGGACGATGGATGAACTTTTCCCAGTGTTCAGTTTTGTTGTAGTGCGTGCTAGTGTGTTACAATTGGGGAGCGAGATACATTTTATTGAAGATTTCATGGAGCCATATTTGCAAAATGGTGAACTTGGTATCATGTTTACTACTCTCAAGGTCAGATATAAAGATTATAGGGATTAGAATACTGCAAAATAACTATTTAACAAAGAAAATTAATTTGATTACAGGCATGTTACTATCAGATATTACAAGAAAAAACTAATATGGGCGATTAAAATTACAAATATGCGGTACAATAAAATGATAAACTTACACAGATGAAGTATATATGCATATGCGTGAAGATAATATCAAATTGGAAAAAACAATGTAGGATAAATATGGATGCATGGATGAAAGATATTCTGGCGGAGATTTCAGCATAAATCCACATGTCACGATTTTAGGTCAGAAAAATTTTACAAGTCCATTTTTATTTACGGATTTACATTTATCAACAGATTTATTTTCATCAAATTCACAAAAGCTTATTACATTATGCATAAAATATATGAAAGTGATAAAATGCATTTATGACTTACAACAGAGTCTTTAACATCTTAACTGCATAAATATGTGGTAAGATGAAATAAGAAATTAATATAACATATCAGTTTATTCCTTAATAACACTTCGTCATTGTAAGTCATACATAAGTTCATTATTGAATAATATTTGTGTCATTAGCCAATTTAATGTTCTGGAAATAAGACATGTTTATGTGAGTTATACATAGAGGTTGAATTTCAATACTTCCAATTACCTTAAATTGTCCAAGGGTACGTGCATTAAATAACATTTAAAGTAACTATGTAAAAATTGCATAGCTCAATTTACAAAAAGATACTAAAAGTTACCTTCTTCCACACATACCTGAATTAGAAGTTAACATTATAGAGGAATCATAAATTATAATGATCGTTATTAGTTGTTATTATTGGTGGAAATAATCATTAATAATATTTTTGCTCATTTTTTTCATCGTCATGTCTCACTCATTATGTCTACGTTGTTTCGTTTTACGTGAAAAATGATAAAAGATATATCATAAAAAATCTTCCTTTTCAAATGAATACTGACGATAAAATACAACTACAGCAGTAGTCTTTTCTGTTAAGAAAAAATAATACACATATAAAAGACATTTGTAGAATATTTTCTGAATGTTGATATTAAATAACGATTAAATAAAGATATGTAGAGATCTTTTACAGTTTATATTATATGTAGATTTTTCTTTTGTATGACCTGTTTTGCACTTGTAGTATTACATATTTGCGTACATAATTTAGCTTATCAATTCACTTTATCCATTATATTCTCGAAAACTTGTATTTATTATAACTATGATTTCAAAATTATTTATATTATTAGTACATGTTACAATCAGTATTGTTGTTGCATAAATACAGAAAAGACAAAATGTGAAGAAACAGAACATTGAATATATAATATTATAAGGAATAAGAAAAAGACCGTATATTATATATGAAATAATTAATGTTAAAATTTAAATTATATGCCATGTATGTGTGTGTGTTGTGTGCGTAAAACATTTATGTTAAAATCAAACTTGTTGAAGTTGCTTTATTGTGTTTCTTAGAACATGCTTATATATGCATATGTTCTTAAAATATATATGTTCATTATATTTAATTCTCATTTCATCTGTACATGAATTTACATACATGTGATATTAGTTAAAGAAAAGGTTTACTACCACCTAGTATGTACCTGAAACATATACTTTGTATTAACTCAGAAAAGAGCTCGCTTTCAATACATAAATTTGACATATTTTAGATATATATAAAATTTTATTCCCGATTATATCTCTTCTAAATCTGTAACTTACATATTTTTTAACCGAAGAACTATATAATTAAATTATTCTGTTTGCTCTATTTTATTAAATACTGAAGATATATGAAATAATTATACATGTAAAGTATTTTATCAAGATTTTATCAGATTTGATTAACATAAATTATTATTAATTTACTTCTGCAAAATTAGTCATGGGCTCTATCGAGTTAATATATTATGGATGTACAATAATTGTTTACAATATCCTATACATGTCTCATATTACTGTTTAGTATTGTAATTAAAACTGATATAAATCAAATTGTTGGCATCAAATTATAATATAAGAGATTAGCCAAATATTTTACATCATATATGTTTAAGAGAACGTTCATCACATTCGATTAAAATATTTTAGATCAGATTTTATCAAGCATCAAACAATTTTAAAACAGGTTTATTTTTTAGTTTGGTGCAGATTCAAAAACTTGTACTACATGTGAATATCACCATGCAAATTATTTACTTATATAATGATGCTTGGAGGAATGTATATGTAACAAGTATATGATACATTAATTATGTATCATATAAATATAATATATAACAAATAAGATTATTCGAAAATCGAGATAATACATTGCAAGTATGTGAAAATACTTTTTATTGTAAACCAAGAATTATAATGAGTAGCTCCAACTTAAGAATACTTGTAATATATATGCAATAATATTAAGATTTCTCCAGAGATTTATAACAGAATAATGTCTTGAATAAGTTTCTTGAAGAAGCATTTTTTAAGTATACATGTATGAAGTTGAAGCTACTGAGAGTTATATAAAAAATTATGTTATATATTCATATAAAGAATAAGAGTATATAAGATAACAAAATAAAATCTATGCACTGTTAATATATATGTGTCTGCAAAAGTAAAGTAAGACATTGATTGATGAAACTGTATAATTTTATGAGTTAAAGTCCAATTTACTTTGTAAGTTTTAAACAGTAGCATCATATGTATCGTACATTTTTAACTCTAATTATTCTATTATTTCTAATGTGGGATAAATATATGTTGTTACATTACGTGTTGATATACAGTTAGCAGGTTATATATGTATGTATGCATATATGTATATGTGTATGTGTATATGTATATACACACATATATATATATGTATATGTGAATTGTTTATTCATATATAATTATTGTAAATAATATGAAGAAGTTAAAAGTAAATGGAAACAGTACAATAAAGATAATTTATTTACAAATGTGATTTACAAATGTGTAAAAAACAATGTCGTGAAAAATATATTCTGCTGTCACTGAAGTATCTGTATTTATAAATCTATTTTTCTAATTAGCATATACATTCCCACCTATTTCCACAATTTTCTTATTAATGACTAGATATTGCAATATTTCCATATCTTTGTACTACATAGAACATATTTATTTAAAAAATAATTTCAAAAGTACTGCTACCGTGCTGTCCTGTTAGTAATATTTTTTTACATTTTGTTACACTTTCTTATTAGTTTCTTTCTTTTTCTCTTATTCGTAAAAGAATTTAGCTATATTCTGTAGAGTCTGTTCTTTTTTGAAAAACTTTTTGAATTGGTGCATATTGATGCAATAAATTAGAGTGAAACAAAATATATTTGTTTTTAGGATGTTCAATAAGTTCTTCAAAAAAGTACAAACTTCTGTCATTTTAAGTGTACTAAGTGTAAGAAAGTGGTGTTGAGAAAAGATACTCGTGTGTGTATACAATGTAACGAAATTTTACAAAACATATTCATAACGGGTTTGTACGTTAAATAAAAATTTATATTTTGACGATAATTTAATGGTAGAAAAGAACATAAATTTAGTGAGTTTTCAATGCATGAAATTTTTGAATAGACGGCCTAGTTTGTACCATTCCGTATGAAATATAACCTAAAAGTAAACTAACCTTAATGTTATACTTGTTTATACTGTATGTACGATGAAGTTTCTACGTAAAACAATTTTTCATAATAATTGCATAAACAGTAAGACAAAGGAGTTATTTTATTGAAAAACTCAATTTTGCAAATTGTATGTTTATTACATATGAAAAGAGTTAATAATTAATATAAATTTATACTTATAAATCTCATAAATCTAATCTTATAAACTTAATATTATTTTATTATAGTGGACCTCTTGATTGTTTGAACCTTTATTTACATTTAAACATCATGTCGAAACGTAAATTGCATGATATGTTAGAAGATGAGTTTGAGGAACAGACTGATAAACAACCACTGAAGAACTCATTGGATTCTGATGAAGATGACGATGAGACAAATGAGGATGCCTATAATGTTATGAATGAAGATGAGTTTGAAGGTCTTTATATATCTATATATCTACATATATCACTTGAGTATAGAAATTGTAAATATATATGTTTCTATTATTTTTTATTCTTACTCGATATATATAATCTTATAATATATATATAATATTACTATATATATAATCCTTATTCTATATAATATGTAATATAAATATATAGTTTAATTATTTTTATCAAATAGGCACAGAAGATGGGCCTTCAGCACCAGAAGCAAATGTAGGATTTACAGCATTTAATATGAAAGAAGAATTGGAAGAAGGTCACTTTGATAAAGAAGGTCATTATCTTTGGAAAAAAGAGAAGCAAATAAGAGATAACTGGTTAGACAATATTGATTGGATTCAGGTCAGTAAAATGAATAATAGTAGTATATAAACATATAATTAAGATATTGGTATTCTTTACAGATTAAGCCAAGTTCAACAGTAAAACAGAAGGACAAAAAGTCAAATAAAGCCCGTGGAATAGGAGACAGTGACAGTGATAGCGATGAAGGTGATATTATGTTTGACTCTACTCCATTGTATAAACAGATATTAGAGTACCTCAAACCTGGTGAAACAGTATCTAAGACATTGTGCAGGCTTGGTAAGCACAATTATTAATTGAATATTTATATTGATTAAGTGGAAAATAAATATGAATTATTTCGATCTGATTAGGTAAAGGGAAAAAGAAAATAACAACAGCTGAAAGATGGAAAAGGAAAAAGGAATCCAAAACACCAATAGAAGAAGATCCAAATTCTGTCAGCATAACAAAATTAACGGAATTAGCAAATGAGCTATTAACGCGTACTGGTAACATGGATATATATCAAGAGACTTATGAGCAAATCAAAAAGAAGGTACCATTGTTTATTGTTATATAACATAAGCACATCTCTGGTAGCTTTATTAAAATAATAATTTGTAGATTGAGCAAGCCAACAAGCATGCACCACCATCAAAACAAGAAGCCGAACTAGATATGTACGCCGACGATTTTGATGAAAAAGAGAAGGCGAAATTGGATGACACTGATACTAGAGCCGGTAATTTTCATGTTACATATTAGGTTGTCTAAAAAGTATTGAGCCTTTGGAGGTCAAAATTGAGAATACATTTATTGTTATTTGAAAATAACATGAAACCACATATGCACGATTTTGTTCGATGACCTTTTGCTATTTTTCCGGCAACACCATAATCCCGTCGCTATAGCACTTCTGTGGTTTCTGGTCAAAAAATTGTGACACGTGGTTTTTACAGGCCTCCTTTGAAACTAACTTAACACCATTCAAGGAGTTCTGCAGAGACCGAAACAAATGATAGATCTGACAGTGTCAGGTTCGGACTAATACGGTGGATGCATTAAAACCTCCCAGCCAAGTTCTCTCAATTTCTGACGGGTCGTTAAAGATGTATGCGGTTTGTGGTGCGATTCTTTAACTCGTTATTGGAGTTAACGACAGTTTCGTTATCGTTGCGCAGCTTTTCTACGGTATACAAAAGCTGCGCAACGATAACGAAAGTGTCGTTAACTCCAATAACGAGTTAAAGAATCGCGCCGCTGGCGTTGTCAGTGTGATATACGATGCTCTTTCTGTTGATCAGTTCCGGCCGTTTCTTTTGAATTGCTAGATGCAATCGCGCTAATTATCGACAGTACAGGTCCGGGTCTATCGTTCTGTCTGGCGGCAGCAGCTCGTGATGCACGATGCCCTTCCAATCCCAACAAACACACAGCGTAATTTTCCTGTGGTGCGATTCTTTAACTCGTTATTGCAGTTAACGACACTTTCGTTATCGTTGCGTAGCTCTTCTACGGTATATAAAAGCTGCGCAACGATAACGAAAGTGTCGTTAACTGCAATAACGAGTTAAAGAATCGCGCCGCTGGGCGTCGGTGTGGGCTTTGTCACAGACTGTGGAGCTTCTCCTCGCTTCGACCACGATCTTTTTCGCACATTGTTGTCGTAGGTTATCCACTTTTCATCACTCGTGATTAACCGCTTCAGAAATGGCTCGATTTCGTTACGTTTCAATAGAGATTCGCAGATAGAAATTCGATCGAGTGAATTTTTTTGAGTCAGATCATGTGGCACCCAAACATCGAGCTTCTTTTTATAGCCAGCTTTCTCCAAATGGTTTAACACTGTTTGGTGATGGATGTTTAAGTCATTAGCGATGTCATGACTGCTTACATGCCGGTCTTGCTCGACTTTTGCCAGAATATCATCCACTTTTTCTATGATTGATCGCTTACTGCGAGGAGCATCTTGGATATCGAAATTTCCAGAACGAAAGCGACTGAACCATCTTTTGATAACGTATCTTGCCCATAAACAACACAAATTTCTTCCTACGCAGCATTTGCACCTTTATGGAAATAAAATTGTAAAATGTAGCGCAGTTTTGCGGAAAGTTCACTCATTTTCACGGCGCAATACTTTACGTCCGATTATAAGAATTCAGAAGATTATAAGAACACTTTTTGTACGTCTACTAGCTTCAACTGTCAGCTGTCAAATGACGTTAGGCCTGACCTGCTGCGACTCATATACCCTGAGATTTGGGACATTCTATCTATGGAACGCTATCTCGCACGCAAAGGGCTCAATACTTTTTAGACAACCTGATATGTTAATCATGGATACACTGTAAGGTGCGTGTACATCCTGTATAGATAAAACAGCAGAGGCAACCAGCGAAGAAAAATCTTCATCTTTGGAAGAAAATGTTATGTGGGACCTGAAGTGGTCACAGGACGAAGATGCGGAGATACACGGGCCTCACACTAGTCAGCAAATGCATACCTGGGCAAACGAAGGATATTTCAAGAAAGGTGCTTGGGTCAGAAGAAGCGGGCAACAAAATCAATTCTACAATGCTGCTAGAGTAGACTTCGAACTTTATCTGTGACATATCTACCTGGTATAAAATATGAATATAAACGGATAGATGTACGAATTTTCGTTAAATCCAAGATTATATAAAAGTAGCATGTGAAATTTATATATTGATACATATGTAAAATTCTTTCACGACAGATATCTGTACAAATTTACCAGAGATAACAATTATTGATATATATTATATCTGTATGATTCTCTTAAGAAAATTCGGTATCTAAATGTATAAACAAGGCATTTTCTAATAAAATACTATGAAATATTGTGATATTTCGTTGTATTTTAAATGCACCGAGAGAGTGGGAGAAACGGAGATACTTCAAAGTTAGTGAATTCGTGAAAAGTTTACATGTTGCTTGAGAAATATACAATACAAACGAAAAATAAACTTTAAATATAAACTCGTTATATCATTTTGACTGAAATTTTATGTTTAATTTCAAAGTACGTCATGCGATAGTGAGTAACGCTCTTGACCATTAAAAAAATATTTCGCGCGTAAAGCACACGCGAGGCGCCCATCGCCGCGTGTGTGTACACATGCCTTCCGGTGCGTTATTAAAAACCACATGATATGGTACTTAAATCAAGAGAGACCTAAACTCATACTTCAGACTTCTCGCGCAGTACCAATGGGAACGAGGATGTTGAGATTTATGGTCTCCGCGGAGAGTGTGGTATTTTTAAATAGAATTTTATCCCTAAAGTAAATCTATTTGTACCTTATGATATAGAGACAGGCGGGCTAACCCTTATTTATCTAGCGGAGCTTTTTCCTTCTTAATTCTTCCATATATCCGGCACGTCTCACGCATGGAGCAGGTTTCCTACAGCGTGGAAATCAAAATATCTCGCCGAAAATAAAAAGAGCGCAAGGCACAGTTTGAGAATCCTCGTATTTATTTGTCGTAAAATTAACTCACCTGTTTGTGTGCGCTCGTCTCGTAGCTCGTCTCGCAGCTGTACGCAGATCTAATAGCCGTTCAGGTTTCTACATTCTTGTGCGGAGGTAAACGAGAAGGGGCTGACATATATTTCGGTCAACACATAGATCACGAGGATTGCATAAGGTAACCATGAAATGGGAAAGGACGGCTGGATACATTTAAACAGAAGATACGCGATATCGGATGATTGAACAGAAATGCATCGATAAAGTTCCACGACGGCGTGTGTATGTGTGTGTGAGCGTGTGTGTGTGTGTGTGTGTGTGTGTGTGTGTGTGTCAGTAGACAATTGGCACAATGTTTTTTTTTACTGAATATAATTTTATTAAACGTCTTAAACATTTTTATTAGCAATGTATGAAAGTCTTATACGAGATTGCTTAAAATATTATTTTGAGTATTTCGTGTACACGCAAAAAATTGTTCCGACACGAACATCTGGGAGTATACATATGCATGCATATATGTATATGTATATATATATATTTATATGTTTATATATGTGCGTATATGCAAAGTGTTTTCGAATATGCGTTCGTGCTCTACACAGTGAGATTCTCTGATTAATCGCGAGTCAATCTCTTCTCCAGCAAAATTCCATTAGACGCCATTTTTCGATGTTCAGTATCAAACGACTCGGTAACTTGGTTCTTAATTAAACTTCTGTTTAACTAAAGACAACTTGGAATTTATTCGGCCGTAAGCGTTCGACACACACACACACACACATACACACATACACATGCGCGCACGCACGCACACACGCACACACGTACACATATGGACACACAACATATCAGCGACTCTAAAGTTTAGTTTATAAAAGTCCGTTAATTTTTACCCGTTCACAACGAAATAGTTATTAATACTTCGCATGTTTTTTGTTTCGGACGAAATCGATTTTACTTCAGTCAAAGAATCTCACTACGCGACGCGCGAACGCAAATGAGCGAGAACACCCGGTATACGCACGTACATTTCGTAAGTATATAAATTCGTAGCTTGCCTCGAAAGATTAGAAAAATTCGAAGCGGAGTGTTTAAACGTAGAAGCCCGAGATGTGGCTATGCTAGATTATACAGTAAGAAGTACGAGTCGACACCTTGATCGCTACACGAGTCGATCGTGATTGAAGGGGTCTAAGTACGACTACGTTGCTAAAGGTGCTGTGAAATACATGCAATGTACACTCTTGACTGCCTATGAAACCCAACATGTGCGCGTGCGTTCGGTTCAAAAATTGATCAACAATCACATGCTCTTTGCCCTCTAATCAAGATGGCGTCGGAAACGTTCGACCTTTGCCGGATTCGCGACGTTTGTCACGGGGCTTCCGCGAACGAGACACTTCCCAGATAAACAGACATGTTGGCAATAGCATGCATGCGTTCAATGTATACTTTATGATACCACTCAAGCGGCATGAGATGTTTGTAATATGCTTGCCGTAAGAAATACGTATTTACTGTTCCATACTTTGCAGCAAAATATCGATTTGTTTGTATCGCTGATTAATTAAGTTCTCTTGCCGACACAATTGTGGCATGTGTCGCAACTTTCATGACGTCAGATTGCTTCTTTTATATGTTGCTACAATGTTTCTTGTATGAAGACGCATGTTTATATATTTATGCTATTTATTTTAATTCTCGAATTCAAACAATCTGCCGAAATTTGTCTATCTGGGTTCTCGCTCATGTGTGCGGTGAATTTCGGAGAATCTATAATAATCTATCAATATCAGCCAATGTTGTTTTCTCGTGTGAAAAAAGATCGATCCGCATGTCGCATCGACGCGCACATATACAGGTGGAAGAATGAACAAAAGAAGCTGCTCAACCCTGCTCTATCTGTGTTAAGGGAGGAATTACACGCGAAGCAGGCCGTTTTCAAGGCTATTTTTACGAATTTTTTTGACAGAAACGGTAGGATCAGTGGACTTGAAATTTTCATAGTGTACTCATTAATGTTCAAAGCATAAAATAAATTTGTTACTATCTGTATGGAAAGTACACACAAAACTTTAAACGCGTTTATCTGGAAACACCATTTTCTTAAACTGTCGACACGATTACGCAAAAATTACTGAACCGAATAACTTGAAATTTTTATATAATATATAATAGACATGTAGTTTTTGCCACTATCTCGAACACAGTTATATTTTATTTTATTCATTTTTTTAAATATGATTACAAGTTGAAAAAAGTTTAATTTTCGATGCTTCTTTTTTATATTCATTCAGGCATTATTTCTCCAAACTTAGCTTCACTGCCTTCATTTTGGCTACAATGGCAACCGTATATTTTAAAAATCTTTCTCATTTTTTTATTTCAAAGTAGTGAAAGGAATTATGTCGACAGCAAACATAGAGCTCGCAAACGGATGACTGCATTTTTACCTATAATTACAAATTGGATCGGTTCTTGTGATTCAATAAATGATTTATTTTACACTTTAAACATTAGTGAATACACTGAAAATTTCAAATTTATTGATTTTACTGTTTTGATTAAAAAAATTCATAAAAATAGCCTCGAAAACGGCCTTCCGCATGCAATTCTTCCCTTAATTCCGTGTATTCTGAACTCTGACGAAACCGTTCTCGCGTGGCGAACGAAAGAGCGAAACGCGACCGTAGTTTTCTACACTCAAAACTTCCTACACTAAAAAAAAGAAAAAAAAGAAAAAAATTGTGTCCACACTTGCAACGGACATTTAGGCGTCGGACGTCGTGCTGTCGTTAGCTGCGTTTTCACGCATTCGCGCGAGAGGAATGGCCGATGCTTCCGCGGTCCTTCCTCTCCCGCGAATATCGTTGTATCGCGTCGCGGCCGCTTGCGAGAGGAACTTCCACGTGAGAATCATCAGACTTGATCCCGACGAGAGTCGTCCCGTCCGTCCGAGAGCGCGAACCGTTAAATCGCGAGAATCCGCTGACGGAGACACGGAGGTAGACGAGGCGGAGTGGTGAAGGTACATTGCATCACATTCACGCGTGTCGACGGAACAAGTACTTTGGTCTTTCCCAAGCTGAAAGGACGCAACAGCCGGAGAGAACACAGGGGACGTTCGGACGAGGGCGAAAATAGGGTAGGAACGGCACATACGAGCGGACAAATTACACATACCGGTTTCATAAACGCACGCGAAACGGAAAGGCGAGGTATTCCTGCCCGGCGGCGGAGCTGTTCCCTCCGCGCCGGGCTTATCCTTATCGTTTGCGTCCGGCGCGCGCGCACGCGCGCGGTGAGATTATCCTTATTATTCCAGTCCTTAAACGAGCCCGTTTCCGATCGCATCGCGAGATGTCGCAGAGAAGTCGCCGTGCGAACATTTCGGGAAACGACCGTGTCGCGCGCGCGCGCGCGCGATTCGCGTTATGAAACCGGCGTTGCGGGGACAATACGCATACGCGCACACACACACACACACACACACGCACACGTACACGTACAAACACACACACATACACGTGATGGGGGAGAGAAACAAGTAAAACGGGCATTCACATTATGGACGTTTACGCGCAGCTGAAGGGACGTGATTTATCGTGTCGATGTCGGAACGGTCGAGAGGGACACTTCTCTCGTTCTTTTCAGCATGGATCACTTTCACGGATTTATTCCCGTATGAGCCGAAAGCGGCGGCGACACCGCCGCCGCCGACGACGACAGTCGTCGAATTGACATTGACATTATTATCTGTTTCATCGCGTAGCACGCTCGACGCGTAACCCGAAAACGCGATCGGAAACGCGAGCGGTCGTGTGTCGTATTAGCGTTCTTTTTCTCTTTTTTCTCTTTCTCCCTCTCTCTCTCTCTCTCTCTCTTTTTTTTTCTTTTTTTAATAGTCGCGCCGGTTTCCTCCGCCGGGAATAAATCCACGGGCGCTTCCTGCCCGCGACAAAAAGCGTTTTCTCGGCTGGTTCCGACACCGAGTATACATTCGACATTACATGGGCTGTATGTACATACAAAAATAGCCGCCGAGAGAGCAGCAGCGGCACGCCTCAAACGCATCGAAGTCCCCGGATGAGAAGGATGTGCTCCGGGAAAGGGACACACACACGCACGCACACACACGCGCGAGCGAGAAGAGGATGAGGACAGCGGAGGGAGCGAGGAAGAACCTTCGACGAGGGGCCTCTATCCCTCTTCTTAGGGGGATACGCCTAAGGTCCCGTTACAACCCCTCTACAATGAAGCTCCTCTATCTCTTTCATTCTCTCTCTCTCTCTCTCTCTCCCCCTCTCTCTCCTCCTCTCTCATCTTCCTCTTGGTCGTTCTCCAGACGAGATGCACAAAGCATGACTAACTACCATGACTAACGAGTCGGGCGATGTGCCACCGAGGAATTTTGGCTAACCAAGTGACAGAGAGAGAGAGGGAGGGCGGGGCGGGGGGAGGACATAAAGACAGGGCAAAATATTTTCAGATCCGATATCCCCGCGCGCTGGTCTCTTACCGTTCGAATCCGAGGATTCTCGCGGATGGACGAAGGGAGAGATTGAAAGCGAACAACGCGCGAAGAGACGAATCGTTAAGAAGCGCCGTTAAAATCCGGAGAGAGAAAGAAGCGAAGGAAAGGGAGAGCGGAAGAGGAGAGCCGCGACTCAAGCCGCGTTTTAGACCAAAGTCAACGTTTACGTAATTACACTCGCCCCTTCAGATCTCTCCCCCCTCCCCGCCCGAGTCTCATATTTCCGAGCGGATCTTCGCCGCGCTGCGAGGTTAGCGGCGTACACGGGAGCTTTCCGCCCGAGATTTTATCCGGCGACGATCAGCGCTTAGAAGGACGCAGTTTATATCGCAACGGATACATAAACTCCCGGGATTCCCGAACGAGACGGATGCAAATGGACGCCGGCGGAAGGGGTTTCTAGCGTCGCGTCGCAGGCACGGCTCGCGCGAGTAGCGAGTAGCCGCGACGTAGATATATTTCGGATATTTGCTGACGATTTAAGTTTAATCGCGCGATCTAAGTGGCAGCGCGCGGAGAGACACCGGGCCCGGGCGAAACAGAGCGAGAGAAATGGCTGGAGATGAACGCGCTTAATGTCGGTGATCAAAGTTGTAAATTGGATCGGATTTAATCTCCTCGCGCGCGCCCGAGCGACGAATAAACAAAGAGAGGCGCGAGAGGCCGTTAGTTACGTCGGCGGAAACGCGGCGAGAAATATCGGGGGATCCGTCTCCGTTATATCTCAGCGCGATACCCAAAGTCGATCGCCTCGAAATTGCGATAAATCAGGCGGCTCGACAGTTCCGACACACACCGTCCCCCACCCCCCTTTCCCACCCTCCGGCTCGGGCTTTCTCTTTTCCTCGGGTCCGCCGTAAAACTCGTCGCGTAATCAAAGGAGATGGGATTGAACGGCCGACGACTTTCGAGCTCGAGCGTGACCATCGATCGGGACGCATTCCCCGCTTAGTCCCGGAACTTCCGAAACTTAGCGGAGCGAGATGGACGACCCGTTTTCGTAGGACGGCTGCCGAAAGGAGAGACTCGTGCGATGCGGCAGCTTGTAGGTCACTGGACCGCGCGCGCGGGAAGCACATTAATAGGGGATTTTCATTCAGCGCTCCCGCTGGGCTTCTCTCGCTTCGAGGGAAATTAATTTTTCAAGGCGAGACCGGCCGAAGACGCATCACACTTACGAGGCCGCCCGGAGAGAAAGCCCGGGAGGGGGTGCGGGGCGTTTCGTCTAATCGCGTTAGAGTTAAACGCCCTCGTAAGTACGTTCCTCGTCGATTTCCTTCCTCCCTTTTTTCGCTCACTCTCTCTCCTCCTTCTGCTCCTCTCTCTCTCTCTCCCCCTTTATATTGCTTTTCGCTCGTCTCTTTCCTCCTGTTTTCCCTCGTTTTTTTCATTATTTTTTTTCTTTTGCGCAACGGAGCACCATCATTTTTTAAACGGCCAGCCGGCCGGGCCGTTCGCGGCGAATGAACGTTGATGCGAATTGATGGGGATTGCCGACTATCTGGGGAACTGTGAACGTTTCGCCGGAACGGCGGTTTCCATACATTTTTTATGAAACCATCCGCATATCGAGCGCGCGACGGTGAGAAAACGAGGATTCTGCGTCTCGTTAGAGGAGCGCAGTTACACACGATCGTCAAAGAAATTAGCTCTTTCTGTCCGTTTGACCGCGCGGAAAAGGAAAAAGGAGCGCGCGCACTTTTCATCGCGCTGCGAAAATAAATTCGTTCTTTCATAGCGCGCGATCGCCAATAATCTTTCTCTCGCTTTCACTTTCATTCTCTCTCTTCCTCTTTCTCTCTCTCTCTCTCTCTCTCTCTCTCTCTTCCTTCGGCGGAACTCGTGCCTCCCGATATTACTCCGAGAGAACCGAGGTCCAATTCCGATTATCTCTCGTTAATGACCGTATCACCATATTGATACGTGCTCAACGAACTTCTTTCGTTGCGCAATAACGTTCGTTTGTTACGAGAGAAGAGAAAAAGAGAAAAGAAAATTCAGCTCCATCGACGGAACACGTCGCCGGGCGATGCCGAGGATGCACGCAAGGAGCTATTATCTCGAAACGTTTCCCGGCTCCGTGGCGCAAAGTTCGCTTGCCTTTCGCCCGAAGATCCTTTCGCTGCTCCTCCCTCTCTCCCTCCGCCGGGCGAGCGCGAGGGACGAAATTCGAAAAAAGCGCCCTTAATCTCTCCCTTTAAATTCCGCCGTTGTGAAAGTTCGAGCTGCGACCTGTAGGAAAATACGATTCAGTAACGAGACTTAATCTCCGGGTGTTGCAAACTACGACTCACGAAGTTGCCTTACAAGCGGATCCAATTAGGAAGTTTTGCATATTCTGTTAGGTTTCGTGGACGCGGTGCGTTTGGAGGCGTGCGCAAAAACATACAAATAGGTCCTCGGGATCGTAATCGCGTATTCGCGTAACGACTTCCATCGTCGTGCATTACATCGAAGAATAACGTCCGGCGCGAGCGGATATCTTTTCTTCCCCTCCCTTCTCTCTCTCTCTTTCTCTCTCTCTCTCTCTCTCTGTTCTCTTTCTCTTTTTCGTCTGTCTCTCCTTCCTTACTTCTTTTCTTCTACGCGCTCGGACGAAATCATTACGTCGAATCGCAAGTACGAGCCTCCGCGACGACATGCTCGCCGCTACAACGGAAATGGTACGCACTTGGTTTTTCGTACTGCATTTAAGTATATTTTCGTATTCAAAAACGTAACATCTCTCTTTCCTTTTTCCACAAACTTAACACATCATAAATTAATAAATAAATATATATTTATATCTCGTATATGCACTCGCTTACGCTTCGTATATAAATGTGTCCTTCTCCGTAGTCTCTAAATGTATTCGGTGTAGCTTATACAGTAAAAGGTCGTAACTATTATTGCTTCAATTTACAACACTTCGTACGAACGAACGAGGGTTCCTCTCCCTCCCTCCCTCCCTCCCCGGTCGGTCGGTCGGTCGGCCACAAAAGGGGGGAAAAATCGCTCTCGTGACCGTTAATGTAATTTGCTCCCTTAAGCGTGTGTCTCGTGTGTGAGGAACGTGCTAACGCAATTTTCAGCAAATAACTCTCGTCGCACCCTTATTAACCCCATAGTAGTAATAGTAGTAGTAGTAGTAATAATAGTAATAGTAGTAGCGATAGCAATAGTAGTAGTAATAGTAGTAATAGTAGTGGTAGTGATGGTGGTGATGGTGGTGGTAATAGTATCAGCGATGGTAATAGTAAACGGCGACGGTTTGACGCGCGGCCGATAAAGAGAGAGAAAGAGACAGAGAGAGAGAGAGAGAGAGAGAGAGTTCTACACGGAGGTCCCGAGCCGGAGGTCTTTCTTTCTCTCTCTCTCTCTCTCTCTCTCTCTCTCTCTCTCTCTCTCTCTCTCTCTCTCTCTCTCTCTCTGATCCTGGAACAGACTTTATACGGGGAGAGTATTAATCTCTAGCTAGCTAGTAGTAATCTCTAGGACGATCCTTTAATCGACTAAGGCGACGCAGTTTTGATTTGATTTGTTACTACGTTCGAACAAGCCCGACGGGACGCGAAGGCGGCTCTCGCCTCTCGACTCACGGATCTGGGCCACTGCATTCGCACTGAGCCGACGGATTTCTCGACGCAATCCTCGAAATAAATACGGGCCCTCCTCGAGCCCTGTGGCCGGTGGTACATACGACGTACTCCTGCGTTCCCTCCCGCGCGACTTGCATTCCGAGTCAGATTGTGTTCCCTCGATGAGAATGCATCCTGACTCTATTTCTCTCTCTCTCTCTCTCTCTCTCTCTCTCTCTTGCTCACTCTCTCTCATGCTCTCCCTCCCTTTCTCTCCCTCCCAAGCTCTCCGTCTCTCTCTCTCTCTCTCTCTCTCTCTCTCTCTCTCTCTCTCTCTCTCTCTCTCTCTCTCTCTCTCTCTCTCTCTCTCTCTCTCTCTCTCTCTCTCTCTCTCTTTCGTTCTCTCTAACAGCGACGCAGCTATCTCGGAAGACATTTCATTTTCACTCGTCCACACGGTTGCTTCCGCCTGTCCTGGGGGATAATTTCAGCGTGTAGCCCGTCACGACCGCGTCACGGTCCTCACAGGCAGAACACGGCACACATTCGTTCACGCTTCGAGCTACAGAAGCCCGGATCACATAATCCGCTGTCCTGACGACAAGGCCGTTGTCGATCATTCTCGTCGCCGAGCGTGCGTCGGCTTTCGCCACCCTCGCGTCTCTCGCCGCAGTGTACGCCGACTATCCGGGCCCACTCTTTTTCTTCCTCCCCCTCCTCCTCCAAACGAACGAACAAACATACCACTGTCGTCGAACAACGCGAATACAAACTTGCCCGGCGCTCGAGCCGCGCGTACGATGCCACCCCCTCAGCTTCGTGGGTCCTCGCGCTCGATCTGAGACGCAGCATATCGATAACGGCGATAACGCCGGAGCGATCGTTCCGGAGGCGGTATCGCGCCTCGCGTAAATTTAACGGCCGAGATATCAGCGAATCCTCTATGCTTCCGCCGCACTCCTGCGGCGCACACCCCCGTCTGCACCCTCGCCGCGTACGCGCGGTACGAGAGACGCTGCTTGCGGAGGAGATTGCCGCGACTACGTCGAGAAACACCACTGAAAGGAGGAGAGAGAGAGAGAGAGAGAAAGGAAGGAAGAAAAAGAAAGAGAAAGAGAGAGAGAGAGAGAGAGAGAGAGAGAAAGAGAGAGAGAGGAAGAGAGAGAGAGAGAGAGAGAGAGGGAGAAAGGGGTGTGCCCCGCAGGCTGCGTAATCCGGAAGATATTTCGGACAGTTAAAAGTCCATGATACGGAGATACCGTATCCGCCGCGCGTATCCGGCTGCCTCGTAACGACCCCTCCAGAGAGGGAGGGACTGGATCCTCCCCGGATTCGTCGCGGCTCGGGGTGCGCAACGCTCACGACGACAACAACAACAACAACAAGGCGGTGCTCAGCGAAAGCACGGTGCTCGCGAGCCGCGTCCGCTCACACGAAGACGACGTGCGGCTTCTCCGAGAGCAACGGCGGCGGAGGCGGCGGCGGCGGCTCGTAGTCGTAATCGTACTCGTAATCGTAACCGTAGCCCAAGCGGCGCGCCTGAGCCGCGCTCGACCTGCTGCTGGCGGAGATGCTGGCGGCCACCGGGCCGCCGTGCGCGCGATACAGCGACGTCACTTCCGGCGGCTCGTCGCGCAGATCCGTCACATCAGCCACCGCGTACACCCCTTCCTCCGGCTGCTTCCTGTAGGACGGCTCGACGTCGCGGCGGCTGGGACGGGCGTAGCGCGGCGTCTCGTAGATGTTGGTGTCCTGCGACTGAGGACTGCGCTCCGCCGTGGCGACCTTGCCGCCCCCGCCGCCGCCGCCGCCGCCGCCGCGCGGGGAATCATACGAGGTATCCTCGCTGCGGGCCAGCAGCCGGCGGCTGTAGGACTCCGCGTTCTTGTCCAGCTCGTTGTTGCTCCTGCCGACGTAGACGAGGAACTCGGGCCGGTTCGGCGCGGCGTACGCCAGCCGTCGCTTCCTCTTGGCCCGGGTGACGTGAGCGACGAGGGCGAGTATGGTCGCCGCGGCGGCCAGGCAGCCGGTGGCCGACAGCGACATGTAGAGCAGGCTCAGGCGACAGCGCAGGGAGCCCTCCGACAGGGCGATCAAGGCCTTGCCGGCGAACTCCTCGTCGCTGCAGACGATGTCGTGCGTGTCGAGCTCGAGCCGGGTCTCGTTCCGCCGCTCTTCGGCGCGGATCACGTTCCACAGCCAGTGCACCGAGCAGTTGCACACGAGGGGGTTGCCGCCGACGCGGAGGTGCGACAGCCCGTCGACGGGGAACTGCGTCGGCTGCAGCGTCGCCAGGCTGCAGCGGCGCAGGGACACCCACCTGAGGTACCTGGCGCTGTAGAGCACTCGGGCGGGCAGTTCTCGCAGCTCGCGGTTCCCGTCCATCGAGATGCGCTCGAGGTTCACGTTGTCGGCGAAGGCACGCGCGTTCACCGACGCTATCGTGCAGTCGTTGAGCTCCAGGCTCCTCAGCTCGAAGAGGTTGCGGAACGCCACCGCCTCCAGCGAGCCGAGGGGGTTGGTGCTCAGCACGAGGCTCGTGAGGACGCTGAGGCGGGCCAGCGCGGCCGTAGGCACGGACGTTAGATTGTTCCCGGACAGGTCCAAGTAGAGGAGATCCGGCAGACGGTCGAACGCCACGTCGGCGATGCTCCTGATGACGTTGTTGGAGAGGTTCAGGGAGACCAGCGACGGCAAGGACGGCAGGGAGTCCCGGTCCAGCTCGAGGATCAGATTATCCGACAGGTCGATGCGCTCAAGGCTCGGCGCCAGCGCGAGGTTGCCGGTCGGTATCTCCAGCAGGGAGTTCTTGCTGAGGATCAACGTGCGTATCTTGTGCAGGTTCCTCAGCAGGCCGTCCGGCAGGCTGGTGATCGAGTTGTCGCTGAGATTCAGCAGCTCCAGCTCGCTCGTGTACTTGAACGCCTGCTCGTCCATCTGCGAGATGTTGTTGCCGGCGAGGTTCAGCTCCTTCAGCGAGGTGAGGCCGCGCAGGGCATTCTTCGCCAACGTGCGGATCGCGTTGTCGCTGACGTTGAGCACCACCAGGTTCTGCTGCAGGCTGAAGTTCTCCAGGCCCAGCGTGTGGATGAGATTCGAGCTGAGGTCGAGACTCTCGAGGTAACCGTAGAAGCTGAAGGTGAGGTGCACGTTGGCCACCCGATTGCTCGACAGGTCCAAGTGGCGGATCTCCGGGTTTAACTGGATCGGCACGACCTCGAGGCCGGCGTGGGCGCACGTGGCGCGCAGGCTCTCGTCGTCGCATCGACACCGCGGCGGGCAGAGGCCACTAGCCACGACTGTCATCACGGCGGCCATCGCTATCGCGATCGGCAGCGTCGGCGGCGACGGTCCACGTGATGCCATTCCATATGAACTCCTTCCGAACTGGAACTGTCCTGCAAGAGGAAAAGCGAACAGCGGATCGCACGTTAATCACGGCTGTCTCATCGCGAGGAGCGATGCGTCTCTAAGGGGGTGCCGCGCACGGAGGGTGAGACGCGCGGATGACAACCGCAGGATCGCAGGAGGGTGGGAGATGTCACCGCGACACCGCGGCGAATAGAGACAAGTTTCGCGGATCAATCGGCAGTTCTCCCCGCGCGTGTCGGAAGTTTTCTTCCTCCTTTTATTATTTTAAAGCGGCGGATATGCCGCGAGCCGAATTTCGGATCTCTGCATTAAACCCCCGCGCGAATTCCGGCGAATTTGGCCGGAGTAATTGAGAATCTCAAGGTGGTGACATTGCAAGGCTACAATTAGTCGCTCAGCGTCCTTGCGGAGGAATTTACTCAATAATTATTTCACATTTCTCCCTTTCGATTGTTTCACGTTTTTCCCTTTCGATTGTTGTAACAGTCCGCCTGCGTGTCATCCCTCTTAATTTTATTGAGCGAGGGGTGAATTAGTCACACAACTCATTCATCTGCAATAGAGTATCGCGATTGGCAAGCGTCAAATAATTAATAAAAATTAACAGACGGATACGAGCAAACGAAACAAAAACTTTCCTCTCTCATAATTTTTTTTCCTCATATTGTCGGTTGGTCGATTAGAAATTTAAATGTAGTCGGGAGGTCCAAAAAGTGGCTGAAAAGAAACAGCCGTAAACCCCGGCACCGAGTAATCCTTTATTAATTAATCAAGCTCAATGAGAGACATTTTCAGCACGCGCATCACGCGGCCTCCCTCCCCCCCCCCCATTCTGACAACTTGATATAATTTGTACGTCTCGCAGAGAAAGCTCCGGAATACGTCGAGACCAGAATATGTCATTGACCGTTGACTCGGTCATCCCCAATGCGCTCGTCATTGATTAGCCGGGCTATAACGGCCCGTGATTGGCAAAAGGTGACTCGGCTCTTTTCGAGCGTGTCCGTTACAAAGTCATTACGCCGAAAACCGACGTGCGAAGTGCAGCATAGCGCGAAGTACAGCACTTTCTTCGTCGCACGCTTTTCGTGGTGTGATTGAGGTATCTCGCCGGGCTATCGAGATCTTTAATCGGCCGTCGCAACATCGCGTTCATTAACATCGCGTTAATTAACGCGCGGGTCTCCGATCAAATTGTGTCCACGCGGGTGGCAGTGTCAGTGTCAGTGTTAGTGCTGGTGTCAATGTCAGCGCTACGAACGGAACGGATTCGGGGCGACTGAGAGCAGGTTGGAAAGCGAGGACGCGGCCAGCAACGCATCGTGCATCTCCGAGTAAGTCGAATCCTTCATTATGTGGAATTTTGGCGATTTTAACGACGCCAGGCGGACTCTCCGCGAATAAAGAGACGGACCGAGAGGTGAAATTTAGGACCTGCTTCAAGGCCGGTGTTCGCAATCTGTCATTGTCCAATGGATGGTCACATCGTCGCGGATTTCCTTGTAATTATTCGTTAACTATTAGGTGTACAAATGAATAATCGAAACTTTTTTAAGCGGCTAAGAAATTAAGTTTCAAATAAGCAAATTTCTCCGCTCCTTTACGGTTACGTAGTGTTGACATACAGCTATTAAAAATTACATTTAGTATAACGGAAGGCTCAACATAACCTCAAAAATTATTCAGTACAGTCAAAAGTGGCAACAGGTAAGGTGCATATCCGACATTGCATTCTTTACGAATTCCAGCAAGGAAACAATGCTGCAAGAGCATACAAATCGATTTGTTCTTTTCTTGGCGAAGGTGTTATATCGTACGATGTGTGTGCACTTCGGTTTAGACGGTTTAAAAGCGACAATTTTAGCTGAGTGACAAAGAACGTCCTGGAGAGCTTCGGAAGTGCGGCAAAAATGATTTAGAGCTCGCTGAGAATTCAGCACAAACGCAAAAAGAGCTTGCAGAGCAGTTAGGAGTAACGCAACAAACTATTTCCAAACGTCTGCACGAAATATGGGGAAGATTCAGAAAGAAAGAAAATAAATTCCGCATAAATTCACTGAAGCCAACAAAAATCAAGTGGCAGTGTGTCTTTCTCTTCTCAATAAGCAGCGTAGAAAGTCTTTCTTGTGAAAAATTGTTACAGGCGATGAGAAGTGGATAATCTATGACGATCCGAAACGCAGAAAGTCTGGAGTAAATCCCGGCGAGCCATTAACATCGGTCGCAAAAACATCAAAACACTTCGGAAGAAAAATTCTATTCTACATTTGGTGGGATATAAAGGGCGTGATTTGTTATGAGTTATTAAAACCAAATGAAATATTTTTCCGACATGGAATTCATCCTGTCTGGAAAGATGGCTTGAAGTTATGGAAAACACCGACGAACACTTTTACTGACAAATTCGTTTTACTTTCTTTTAAAATAAACCTTGAATTTAGCTGACGAATTTGGATTATTCATTTGTACACCTAATAATAAAACTTGCCTTGCCGAATGACGAGCCATGAATACGAATCTGTAATTAACTGTGCTGTCAGCAGCGAGAAAAATCGAGAATAATTTGCAGCTGCTTATATCCCGGCGCTGATTATTTGCTTCCTCCAAAAACTTTGAAACGCGTCTCCTTATCAACTTTTTCCTCGCTTTCGTTTAGCCCTGTTATTGCACGGAATCCAAGTTTAAATCCTTATTGGCTTTTATACGGAACTGTTATCTTTGCTACCTTTGGTCTTACGATTTCTTCCTTGCCGCCTCCTGTGAATATCTAAATCCTATCGAAATTTCCAACGTCGCTGAAACAATATTATAACAAAGACACCGCGGAGAAAGAAAGTTCGTTTTGTTTCAGCTTTCCGCTTAAAATACTAATTTTTCATTAGACTGTTCGGCATTTGCTCGTCGCATCCGCTCTGTCTACGGTCGAGAAAGTTACAGCAAGCTAATAAATATATTGCTTGATGAATTACGAACGCGAGTAAAATAAATCGAGACGACTCAGTGTTGACCAATCTTGAAATTAGTGCTTCTTCATGCCGTCCTCGACGCCGAGAAAACTGCAGCAAATAAGCTGTGTAACGTTGCATCTTGAGAATCGAAATTTCGACCAGGGGTCGTCGAGCGTTCCGAGCGTGAAATACTTTCACGAACACCTAAACGAGAATAGTCTCTGGTGATCTTTGGTCCGCAGACCTTCGGGGTGCGGAATTTTACCGCGCCCGCGCGGACAGCGCTCCGAAATTTTTTATCGCCCGCGATAAAAGGGCGGAAAAATGTGTTTCGAGCTCCTGACGAACAGGAATTAAGGATCGTCAAAGAGTCCGCAACACAAAGAAAATACCGTCGCGGGGATCCGCAGTCGGTGCGTTCGCACGTTCCTGCACCGCGAGCGCAAGCTTCCTGCCTGAATATCGCGGTATTTACTATTTGCTTTACGTGCGCGCCATGTATTTATAAAGCGGCGCCTCGAAGCGCAACGGAGAAATTACGTCGCCGCCGTGTCCTAATTGTCTCTCTAACCGACCGACAATTTAATAACGTAATAACGCTCCGTGTTAATTCCGCGATGCTCCAAAATGTCCTGCTATCAGGACTTCTCTCCCCTCTCCGCCTCCACCGGCCCTACCGCGGCGCGGTTTACACGAGGCTGCGCGCGACGAGAGAGCGACGGCGACGCAATCGTAAGGACGAACGAGGTCGCGCGCGATACGACGTGAAATATTAATTGTGTGTTACGTCCGACGTAACGGCGACGTAACGCGATAAAATAAAATCCCAAGATCCGCGCCGGATACTGTGTACGCGTGTACGCGCGCGCGCGCGCGTTCTGCTTTTACGCCCGGCTCGATCCGCCTCATCGTCGCAATTATCGGCTGCGAGTATTTATTGCATTCTATCTCCGTCGCGCGCAAATGCGAGAGCTCGCCGCGCGATTGTACGAACGATATCCCTACGCCGTGAAGCTGTGCAGTAAATGTTTCGAATAAAACCCACCGTTAGCTGAAAGACCTTTGTGAGAGCGGGTAACTCGCGAAAGCGTAACTACCTTTTACGTTCACCGGGTTTGCCGCACAAGCTCGATGCAAGTTTATTTACGGACACCTGCACGCTCATTCGTGTTCAGATTTCGCGCTGCTGCATCACCGCCGCCGCCGCCGCCGCCGCCGCCGCCGCCGCCGCCGCCGCCGCGCCGCGCCGCGCCGCCCGCTCCTCCCGGGATATGTCCGACATGGCGCAGTTTGTATGTCAACTTTTTTACGCCCGCGGAAGGTAAATAACGCCACCCACTCGTGACAAAAAGGGAAATGACAAACTGGCTTCGAAAGGAAAGTGGATATTAAATTTGCGTCTATGCCCGGCTAAATTTACTGCGCTCCGGTTAATTAAATCGCGACGAATTTCGTCGCGCTTTTCCCTCTCCCTCTCTCTCTCTCTCTCTTTCTCTCTACGTCTCGCAGCCGGGCGAGTCTTTAGCATTTTTTGACGCGCGCGATACAACAATCGTACGCCCGTTGTCGGGGCAATTAAATTGGTTGCCGCGCGAATTATCTGGAACGCGTTCGCATATAAAGCGTGATAAAGCGAAGGAGGTGCCGCGCTTCGATGCGGCTGTTTCTCCGTTCCCGGGCTGACGATAATGAGAGAAGAATGAAGAGTGATAAATCACTTCCTCGATGAAACTGGCCTGAATAAACGATACAATTATTTATAATATAATACAACGGAGCGCAGCCGCGTGGGGCCGCGAGCGCTCGTTAAAAATGCGACGACCGACCCGCAATATCGCGAATTCCTCAAAGAGCGGCGAGTATATATCGATTGTTGGCTGATTATTGGCAATATTGCTCGACGCGATGTTGCTCCTTTATCCTCTCTTGTTTCTCTTTTCTTCTCTTCTTCTTCTTCTTTCTCCTCCTTTTATCCCAGTAGGGAGTATCGCTCCCTAATTAAACTTACAAAACTACTCTAACTGCATTACGTTCCTCTTCGTCGCACCGGCGATAATACCAGTGGCGCGTATCGTTTT